GCATAGTCTAGCCTAGTCTGACTAATGCAATGGTCTATAACAAAACAGCAAGAGCGTGAGCTGTCCATGACTCACGAAGGGCTAGCATAGTGGTCCTATCTAAGGAGGACACCACTTGGGTGCTCCAGGTGTATGAAGCTACTTGGCTGGTGGGAAAAATTTCCACCTAACTTTTACTTTAGGGAAAATAAAAATGAAGCTCTCAATGGCCAATCAAGGACCCCTGTGGAAGCATAACAAATATTTGATATTTGACATGATTGTTTATTATGGGGTATATTTGTGGGTTCAGGATCATGATCATGCGTAGAAAGTCTAGAAGCCAATGTCTGATGAACTAGGTGTACATTTGGCATCTCACCCTGAGATAGATATGTAACCATCATTTTGTGTGTGTGCGTCCACATACCTGTAAGTTCAGATGATTTAAGAGTATAATAAATAAATAGGAGTTTTTATCTGCCCCCACTTTGTAGTCAGCCACCCAGTGGCTCTATTCTAGAAGCCAGTTTCAAACAGTAACAGATTTTTATAAGCAGTAAATGAAGGCGGCCAGAGAATCAACCCCCAAAGGAAGAAGATCAGTCATATATTGAAATATTAGGCAGTCAATTATAGTAGTTAAAAGCGTAGACTTTGAACTCTGCTTGCCTGGGCTAGAATCTTAGTTGTACTCCTTTTCCAGTGTATGACTTTAGGTTAGTAATATAATTTTTATGTGCCCCAGTTTTCTCATTTGGAAAATACTGACATTGTATTGCTGTTATGGGGATTAAAGGTAATAACTCTGTGTTGAGAGTATGTGTAGCTGTCTGTAACAGAAACAAGGCTCCAAATAACAGTGTGTCTTCGTCGGCATGGGCTGCTATAACAAAATACCATAGATTGGGTGGCTTGAATAACAGACGTTTACCTCTCACAGTTCTGGAGGCTAGGAAGTCCAAGATCAAAGTGCGGGCAGATTCAGTTCCTGGTGAGGCTGCTCTTCCCGGCCTGCTGGTGGCTGCCTTCTCACTGTCCTTACACAGTGGAGAGAAAGTGCTCAGTCTCTCTTCCTCCACACTGATCCCATAATGGGGGCTCCACCCTTAGGACCTCATCTAAACCTAATTACCTCCCAAACACTCACCTCCATGTATCAATACATTAGGAGTTAGGGCTTCAACATATGAATTTTGGAAGATACAATCATTTGAGTCTGTAACACAGCGGCTTAAGAAAAAAAGAAAGATATGTATGCCTCTCAACCCCAAAGAAAAACCAGAGCTAGGCAATGATATGTTGTCCATAGTGTCAGGGTCCTAGGCTCCTTCTAGCTTCTTGCTCCACCATCTTCAACAAGTGGCTTCCACTTTGGCCCAAGATGGCAACAGGAGCTCCAGCCATCATATCTTCACTCATCAGATCTTCCAGCTATCAGAAGGGAGGAAGAGAGAAACTAGATGCAAAGGGCTCATTCTGTACACCTCACTCAATGGAACATGGTCCCAGGACCACACCTAGATGTGAGGGAGACTTGTAAATGTAGTCTCTGTACTGCATTCTTTTCAGCTGACATTTTAGTTCTGGAAAAATAGAGTTGTTTTTTCACAAGACTGCATTATTTAAATTAACATGTAACTGGGTTATTAAGTTATTTTAAATGATTTAATAAATATTTTACAAATTCGTAGTTTTAATTTCTAATAGGGCAACTAACAGTAGATATAACCTCTATTAAACAAAATGTCTTTCAGGTCCTAAATGATTTTCAAGATTCAAAAAATGTTTAGAGACCAAACTGTTTGCGGACCACTATTCTAAACAAAAGAATTTTTGCACACATTAGTGCGCATGCCCACATGAGGACACTTTATATTGTGACCAAGTATCCTTTCACACCTCCAGATCCAGGATCAACAAACTTTGTGAAGAGCTAGAGAGTAAAGATCCTAGGCTTTGCTGGGCTGCATGCAGCAACCCCACTCAACTCTACCATAATGTTGAAAAGTCACCCATAGACAATTGGTAACAAATGGGTGTGGCTGTGTTCCAATAAAATTGTTCATGGACACCGAGATTCGAACTTTGTATAATTTCCATGTGTCACAAAATATTATTCTTCTGCAAATATGCTTCTTCTTCCACATAAATACATTTATAAATCAGATAACATCCTTGTTTTCTACTTTTTGGTTTGGAATGCGATTTTCCATGCTATGTCACCACCACTTTCCCCAGTGGTGTCAATGGCCTTCAAATCAAGTGGGTACTGAAGGTCCAGGGTGCCATCTGGAGCTTGTTTCCTTGGGAGGGGGCCTGTGAGCTGGGTGCTTGTGCCTCAGAGAAGTGACTATGAGGAACCTAGCCAAGGCAGGGCTGAAAAAAGAGAGAAATTCATTATGCTGAGCTAGGTTCCAAACTGTGTAACAGTCTCTGACTTTTTCCCCACCCATTTGCCACAGAGACTTTCTGGAAAGCTTTTTGGATAGGATGTGTACGATAGAGGAGGTCTGTCATCCATAGGCAGGACTTCTGGAGTGTGAAAGACTCACACACCTAAGACATATACAGTCGATCCTCATGCTGTGGGGCATGAGTTATGGTCCATACAGTCACTGTGAACACGGAATTAGCACATCCCGAACCATTGCTCCTCGGGGAATACAGGGGCTGGTTCCTGAGAGTTTCTGATCACAAACATTTTGTCAACAGATCAATACATAACCTTGTTTTATGTGCATTTCTGTTTAAAGATACCTTATTTAACATACTGTTGATTCGTTGACATTGAACTCATGGCCAACAGCTTTATGACTTAGGGCTGAACAAAGCTTATCTAACATACAAATATTTGATCATAAGGCACATCACAGCCTTCTTGCACTTGAGAACAGCAGACAGCACTTCAGCGCTGTGCTTGCGGGCCACTTTAAACTGCAAAATCACCAACAAAGAGCACAAAAATGCAAAAAATATGGCACTGAATAGAGAATGAAAACGACACGCGTTTGTAGTGTGGGCGCTGCAATGAGAAGGCAGAGGGTGGTCTTGTTCAGCCTCAGCTAGAACTGTGCACAACGGGCGACTCAAAGCTTTCACTGCTCTGTGCTTGTCACCGTGCGAGGGCTGCAACCTTGATTTGGGGATTTCAAATTAATTTTGTGAAGTAGATGAATTTGCAAACACAGAATCTGTGAACACTGGGGATCGACTGTATTGTTGGTATCAGAAAAGGTCTCAGGATGAAAACTGGTATACTCATTCTGGAGGGGAGTTGGGCTGTACGCACATAATATCCTTGACACTGAGAGTTCAACTTCTGGTACTTACCCAGAAAATTATTAGGCAAATGAGTGAAGGATAACATATAAGGATGCTCATTGAAGAGTTGTTTATAATATAATGGAATACTATGCAATCATGAAAAATAATTCATTGATGAATATTTAGTAATATGAAAAGTTTATGAGATGTTATAAAGTGAAAGTACAGTCAATATACACCACAGTCTCATTTGTGTGAATAAGTATATTTCATTTATGATGTATGATACAGGCATATTCAGTTTATGATCTAGACATACTCAATTTCCGAATGGAAAAAATTCTGGAAGGATATATATCAATAAGTTACCTTAACTAGGAGGTATAGATGAATTTAATTGGATTACAGATTAATTTAATTTTGTTTTTTGTATTTTCAGTGTTTTCTAAATTTATTTACAACGAGGGGGCTACCTTTATAATTAGAAATCTATTATTTTTATAACGAACATTTTTAAGGTGTTTACTCTATGCCAGGCACTGGGTTGAGTTCCTTAACTCTTGAATTTATATTAAAATTCTATGAAACAATAGTTGTTTATATTTCACAATTCATAATAAAAACAGAAAAAAGTCTCAAGATTCTCCAGCCTCATTCCACAGATTTGGACGGCCCTCGAGGGCCAGCTCCCTTCAACACGTCCTGCTGCCATTCTAACCAGAACCAGAGGTGGGGATGCTGGCCCACGTCCCCAGTGCTCTGAAAAGTGCTGAGATCTGAGTCTCTCCCGCCAGAGCAGAATTCCTGGGGCTTGGCCACAGGGACGGGACTAACAGATTCAGGCAAGAATTTTGTCTGTCTCCTTCTCTGTTTTTAAAAGAAATAGCCACTGCCCAAACTGGGCCGAGCCTGGTATTATCTGGTTTTCCTCAAAGCCTGAGCAAAGACGAGCGGCTGCTGTTCAGTGGCGCTGGGCTGTCTGGGGAACAGGGTTTCTGGGAGAGAGTGCGCTCGGCCCAGAATGGACTCGGTGGTCAGCAGGCGCGTCGCTGCAGGGAGATGAGCATAACAGATGTCAGCTCGTGTGCGCGAGAGTTTCTGCTTGTCATTTATCCTTGGGAGCATTGCTCTGTCCCCAACCTGTGTCTTTCTAACAGTCAACAAATCAAAAAATGAGCAGAGGTGATAAAGGGATAAAGGCTCCAACCCTTTCTACATGCCACCTTCCCTAGTGCCAGCCTCTCTAGTATGAGGCTTGACAAATCCTCAACTTTTCAGCTGTGTTTTTTACTCCACTACTTAAAAACTGCAGAGGCTGCTAGAGGGGCGGCCAGAGGACTTGCATGCAGGTGCCACTCTGCTATATCTGCCTATGTGACCTTGACTAAGTCACTAATCCTTTCTGACCCTCGGGTTACCCATTTGAAAAATTACGTCCAAAAATTAGGCCATGTTTTGATTTGTGCACTTAAAAGTATGCAGCTTGGGGAGATGGCAGGCAGGTCCCATTCTGGAGACTGGGTCATATTCCTGCCCACTGAGGTGTGTGTCTGTCATGGCAAAACCCAGCGTCTGGATTTTTGCAATGCCCAAGCAGAGTCAGAGGACTGAAGCACGACTAGATTTCAGCATCAATGAGCTTAGCCGGGAGGCATGTCTATGGGTAGAAGCAGGGAGACCTTCCAAAATCACACCACGCAGGGGGTCCCCTGATCTACATAGAATGAGGCAGCACCCCCTGGGGCTGGTCGATTGGAGCTCCTGGAATCACGTGGCAGAATTAGGCATGGGTTATGGTTCCTTTCATGGAGTCAGATTCTCCAAGAATGGTGTAAATGTCAGTTTCATGAAAATCCATCCTAAAAGCCCCGATCGACTTCTCCATTATCTGCCCCCCCTTTTCCTCCCAGCTCTCCCGAGCGCCCAAGGCGATTCTGAGATCAGAGAGCATAATTACAAATGAACTGGGGCTCTGGGGACGCCTTACAGCTTAATTAGCTCCCGTCCCTGCGCTGTCTCCATGGCCCAGCCTCATGCTCCGTGCCGGAGTCCTGGCTGCCAAAGAATTCAGAGCAGGGGCCTCTCGGCTTGTTAGCATGCTTCCCTCGGTCCCTCCTGACGCTCACATCCAGGCTGCAATTAGGCCCAGCTGAGGAGACAGGAGACGGAGAGGCCTGAGCCGCTCCCTGCCTCTGCCGCGCATCCGGAGCTGGCTGGGGGCTGCTGCCTGCCCGGACTGGCCCGGAGGTGAAGCGCACCTTGGAATGCGGAGTGGCGGCGGCTGCAGGGCCTGCACCTGCTCTGCCCAGCCCAGGTCAGGAGGCTGCGGGCTGCAGGTGTGTTTCCGGGGGCGTCTGGCAGGGCTGGGTCTGGGGCATTGAAGGCACCTGGGGTTGAAGGGATCTGTCCCCCACACTGCCGGTACCAGTAGAGGGAGGGGGGATGGCCCCTGGGCAGGAGCCGCCCCGGTCAGCTGGAGCACCCATCTAAGCACAAGCCAGGACCCCCAGAAAGGGCTTCGGGCTTGTGCAACATCAATAAGAAGAAAGGACAGTCATACCTGGAGGGCCCCTCTCAAGGGAAAGTGCAAACCTGGAAACTGATTTCTTGGTCCCTGTTACTTCCCGGTGGCTTATGGTTTGGGCTGTCAATGAATTTCCAGCTTGAAGTAAATTATTTTACCCTAGAAGGAACTCACTCTCCTCTCTCCTGGAGAAAAGGAAGCTTGGAGGAAGACTCTTAAGGCAAAAAGAGAGGCCGTCAGCTGGGCACTGATGTCCATCCAAGGCACTGGGAGCAAAGATCAGCGCTGCCTCTGCTCCTGGCGCCCACCCCAGCCAAGCAGGTCTGCACAGGCTTCGGGGACCCAGGGCCCTGCAGGAGGGTTCAAGCCATACACTCTCCCCCAGCGATGGGGAGTGAAAAAAACAAAATGCAATAATGTTGAATTTAACATCTCCAAAACATAGTATGACATCTAAAAGGCAATCATCATGCGCTTCAATAGTTACATAAAAATGTGTTCTAATGTTAATCAGGGATATGTTTCAATCTGTTTGATATAATAGGGAGTGGGTTTCCCAAAACCAAGCGCCTGAGGCCCACAGATCTCTTAACATAGACCAGGCCCCCATCAAGCAGCCCCAGAGAGAGGGAAGCCACATACATAAGCACTGAGAGGCCACTGCCCGGGTGGCCTTAGAGATGCCCCGGACCAGGCCTGCTCCATGGCTCCGGGATAAACTTCCGTGTCAAAGAGATCTCAGTGCCCACACTCCGGATTTCCCTGCACCTGCCAGGTTCATGGTCAGGACCTGGTAAGGAACCCAAGTGGCCCCATTAATGGGGAGGCTAGCATTGCAGACGTGGGACTCTGTTCTTTAGGAAGGAAGATTAAGGGGGAGAGAGAACCCCATCTGTCCCTACCTACTTTGGAGCAATGATTCTCTGCCTGCTTGTTCACCTTCACCTGAAGCGCCCTTTGTGCTTCCTTCAGCCCTGAACCTGCTGCATTTGCTACATTCTTACCTTAGGGAAACGTTGCTTCTATGCACAGGGGAAGCCAGACTAGAAGCTGGCTGTATTATATTTTAAACAGGCAGTGACAGAGTGCCTACCACGTGCCTGGCAGGTGCTATATTCGAGGGGATCAGAGGCTGGCAGGGGAGACAATTCTCTTACAAGGAAAGCTCCATGCAGGGGCAATGTACGGAGTGTGGAGAGGCCTGGGGAAAGTGCAATAATTCTAGCTGAAAGTAGGGAGACCACACAGAGGAGGTGACCTCCTGGCTGCACTCCAATGATGGCACAGGTGTCCCTGGGCCCAGGCCTGAAAAAGTGTGGAGAATTGGGGGCAGGGTCGCTGGACAGGCTCAGGCTGCAGAGGTGACTGCCATCCCAGGGAGGGACCATGGGGTACACTGGGAGGACAACTCAGCCATGAATGGGTCACCCTGCTATGCTGTCCTTCCAGTGTACCTTAGGGCTCCCCTTGTAGCTTTTCTGTCTATAAACCAGGGCTGTTTCCATGGAGGCCCCAGGCGGGTCTGGATCTAGACCCAGAGCCAGCTGGAGCCCCACAGGCTTTGCCACCCAAGCTGTGCTCCAGGGTCCCGCAGCCTCAGCATTGCCTGGGAGCTTGTTAGAAATGCGGAGTCTCAGGCCTCACCCCACACCCACCAAATCAGATTCCTCTAGCTCACCAGAGCCAGGCCTGACATCCTGAGGTTCCCTGGACAAAGACTGGCCACTGCCTGGAGCAATGTGACCTGAAGAATGGATCTGTCCATTCCTGGGCTCGGGCCAAAGAGGACAGGGCGGGAGTGGAACCAGAAATTCTCTCCATCTTCTAAGCAAGGTGTTCGGATATTCTAGGTGGGAGGCTAGCCAGAAAGGGCTCAGTCCCTCTCGGGCACACAGGCTTCAGGCGCAGTCGGGAAACAAAACAGCCCAGGAATGCAGGTAAGCTCAGGCGGCCGAGCAGGGCCGTTCATGCTGCAACACGTTACGCGTGCTTCATTGAGGAGGTGGCCTGGGCAGGTGGAGTCACGCGCCCGTACCTGTCGGCATTTACATTAGCCACGATTATCTGGGTTTTCTTTCCATTTGGCCCCAGAGACGGAGCCGCCACACAGAGAGTTCAGCAGAGCAAAGTCACAGCCCTTGTATTTGGATTAGAACAGTATCCCCAGATGCAAAGAACAACCAGTTTAACAGTGTGTATGCATGCACGTGTGCGTGCGTGCCTGTGTGTATGCGTGTGTGTGTGTGTGTGTGTGTGTGTGTGTGTAGGGGGTGGATGCAGGTGAGATCTTGGGGCTGCTGAAGTACGATTGCACCCTAACGGGGAACCTGCAGAGAAGCTCTCTACCTTGGCTGATCTGTGGGTCACAGCATGAGAAAAAAATTTCTCATCATGTTTAGGGCCTTGAGCATTTGAAAATAATAAAAAGGCAAAGTTTTGAATTAAAATTTATGGTTGAGCCTGCCTGTCTGGGAGGAGCCGGCTTAGTGGGCAAAGCTGACGCCAGCCAGGCTGCAGGGGCTGGAAGAAATTGGACACCAGCGAGGCTGGGAGCGAGGAGGGACGACTCTCCCGCAGCCCGGCACGGTGGCCCTCTGGGACCACCGCTCCCGGCTCTGGCTGCACACTGGATGCTCCTGGGACGGTGTTTAGAAAATGCTGATTGACTGGGCCACACTACAAACCCAGTGAATCCGAATCCCTGGGACTGGATCCCAGTGACTGAAAGATGTTTAAAGCCCTCCAGGTGATTCTGATGTGACACCAGGATTGAGAAGCATCGGTCCAGCCCGAAGGCTGCAGGGCTGGAGGAAAGTGGACGAGGCACTTTGCCTCTGCTCCCCGCTCTTCTCCCCTGCTGGGAAGGCGTGAGGCCTCAGCAGCTGCACGAGGGCAGTTTTCAGCACTGAGCTCCTCCGGAGTCTTACAACCTGCGGAGGGCCCAAAATGGATAGGGATGGTGGTGTGCAGGGACCTGGTGTCCACATAGCAGCAGCTGCCCGTCCCCACTTGCCCCGGAACCACATGAGCGCTTCTGATTGCCATCAAGATGCACTTTTCCTTTTTCAAAGGACTTGTACGCCAGTGATCTTATATTATCCTGTGTATTCGTTTTCTGTTGTTGATATAACAAATGACTACAAATGTCATGGCTTTGAGATGACACAAATTTTATTATGTTATAGTCCTAGAGAACTAAAATCGAGGTGCTGGCAGGGTTGCATTCCTCCTGGGGGTGCCTGGCTTTGTCCAGTATCTGAAGGCTGCCACACTCTGTCTGCCCCGTGGCCCCTTCCTCAAATCACTGTGACCTCTGCTCTGCGTCACAGCTCCTTCTCTGACTCTGACCTCCTGTCTCCCTCTTCTAAGGACCCTTGTGACTGCACTGTGCCCACCAGGACAATCTTCCCATTTGAAGATCCTTAATCATACCTGCGAAGTCCCCTTTGCCATGGAAGGTCACATTCATAGGTTCTGGGGATGAGGATACAGACTCCTTTGGAGTGCGTCATTATTCCATTTCCCGTACCCCAACAACAGCCACGTGAGTCAGATGCTCGTCATTACACCCACCTGGCAGATGAGGAAACTGGCACCTAGCCAGAGACAGGCGGCTCCTGGGTATCAAAGGTGAAACCAAATTCTTGTTATCCTTCCCCTCATTGTTGCCACTGCATCTAGCAGTCACCTCTTGGGATCCTCACCCATCTCCACCCTCCAGTCTTAGGTCACCCCCCACACACAGTAAAGCCCAAGATGCCTCCTGCCCTTCTGTGGGGTTGGCTATTTCTGCACACTTTTGTTGGACAGCTTCATGAGCACCTGGCTATGGCCCCCAGATCAGGCATTCATCGCAGTGGGCCCCAGGAAGCCAGGTCATCTCTCTGGGTCTGTGCCCATGGTTCTGGGCTTCTCTGAGCTCCTTGACTAGGTCCTATACCCCCCTATACACAAGTGATTACCACATGCCTCTCCTCTGTGGCAGTTGACAGCATTCCACCATTGTTTATGTGTTTCTATCATTAATCTCAGTCTTTCTCTCTCAACTCTAAACCCCATACTTGCTTTTGCTCATGGGCACCCTGTAGGGTGTATGTGGATATTTAATAAACATCTATTAAGGGGAGGAATGTCTGCCAGCAGTCTAAGGCTTACAGATGGTAAGCAACTACTCCTTTGCCTTCTAGAAGTTGATTGCTTCAGTGTTCCTGTCTACTCCCTTCCCTGTGGGAGGGTTACACCCCCCCATTCACTGACCTGTGGCTGTGGGGGGTGCTTCCTTGCCCCACTTCCAGGCTTGGCCACGTGACTGGCTCTGGCCAATGGAATGGGAATGGGTAGAACAGAAGCCACATCTAGCAGCTCTGAGAGCAGTTTCATGGCTGAGTTGTGCCTCTTATTCTTTTCCCTTTGCCAAGAGAACACAACACCCCAGCCACAGGATGCTTCTCCAGCAGGTTACCCAGGATGAGAAGGTGTGAGGAGTAGAGCCACCGTGTCCACTGTAGCTCTCAACATGAGTGACACTGAAGCTGCTGTTGCTATAAGCCAATAAGATCTGGAGATTTTTTGTTATTACAGCATAATTTAGCAAACTCTGAGAAGTACAGAAGTCTTCACTGGACATCTCAGGGCAAATCCAGCTTTCCTCCCCCTCCAAATGGAGACCCAGGGTACAAACCTGGCTCTGACACCTGAAAGCTGTGTGATTTTGAGAAAGTTACATAACATCTTTGGCTTCAAATTTTTATACCAATAGATAAAAAGCTTCCTCTGGCTTCATCAGCAATTCTGAGGAGCTAGCCTATCATTCAGCGTTTGACCTCTGTCTGCTAGGACTGTGGTTCCCAACCCTCAGGCTGCAGAACAATACCGTGGTGGTTACCCTGCTCCGCCCAGTAGAAAAATTGTCTTCCATGAAACTTAGGAGGGGGGTGCACACAGCAGGAAGTGAATGGTGGGCAAGGGAAGGTTCATCCGTACTTACAGCTGCTCCCCATTGCTCGCATCAATCACTGCCTGGGCTCCGCTGCGACCCACCACCCCCCCAGTCTTCCATGAAACCAGTCCCTGGTGCCAAAAAGATTGAGGGCTGCTGCTCTAGGAATTATCTTTGCAGATTGTATGTAGTGCCAAGGAAGTTGTCCCAAAGTTTGAATACAACAGCAAACTGTGTATTCTTGGACAAACTGTTTCACTTCTCTTTTTAATTATAAAAGTCTTTATATCTGTAAAAGGAATTTGCCACACAGTGTTGGGATATGTCATCTTGCACATAAGAAGTATTCAATAAATCCAACGATCTCTCCTTTCTCTCCTCTTCTGGGTTGGATTGAGCCCTTTGAGGTGTACTCTTTTGCATCTTGTATTTCCTCAACCTGGGTGTTTTGGGGGGGGGGCGTATATCCCTGGATAAAAATGCAGAGAGAGGTACCCAGATGTCCATGGCCACATTCCTCACTGTAGGCCCCAAGTGGAAATAGCACAGGCGTCTACCAGCTGATGAACGGGTGAAGGCAGACAGTCACAAATGGCCACACACTGTATGAGTCCATTTACATTAAGTGCCCTAAATAAGCAAGTCCAGAGGGACAAAGTAGATTCGTAGTTGTCTAATCTGATGAGAGGTTGGAGAGATGGAGGGGTGGGGGAAGTTGACAGCTAACGGGTATGAGGTTTCTTTTGAGGATGATGAAAATCATTTGAAGTTAGATAGTGGTGACGTTTATACAACTTTGTAAATACACTGAAAAACACTGAATTGTGCACTTTATTTTTGAATCATACACTTTAAAAGTATGGATTGAATAGTATGTAAATTACATCTTAATATTTTTTTAAAAGCACCCTTAGAGTGATGTGGAGGGAAGAGTAGCTATGAGTTGACGGCTCAGTTGGAGAGGCACTGCCACGCCCGTGCTACCCTGCTTTGGTCTCTTCTTAAATCTCTCTTCTTTTCTGCTGATGCCTCATGCCCAAGCAATGGGAAGAGTCTCTTGTTGTTTAGCTCAAAGGAAATGATCAGGATATTCAAAGATCATTTTACTAAAAATATCAAAAGGGGTGGGGAATAAAAATGTAAATGCATAAAAGGATGGGAATGTTCTTGGCGTCATAATCCTTACTCTAGAGCAGCCACAAGCATAGACCAACTCCTGGGTCTTGAGTCTTTCCCAACCCCTGGCCCTGTCTAGGGAAACCAGCCCTGCAGTCCCCATGTGGGAGCTCCGGACCATTTCCTCCATTCCTCTTCCCCTTTCATGTGGGGCCTGAGCCCCAGCTCATCACAGCCTAGGGGGAAGAGATGGTCCTCGGGGTGTAGAATGCCACTGTCTTCCCACGCAGAGCCAGGGACCAAGGCACTGGCGGGCCGGTGGAAGGGGGAAAATTCATGCAGAGTCTCAGCTCTTCATTCCACTTGCCACCCTTCCCCCATCCAGGGAAGGAGAGGCTGTTTCCTTAGGATGTTCCACAAACACTTGTTGACAGACCCATCACCTAAGTCCCAGGAGATCACAACCTCCCCTGCTTAACAAAAGAACGAGGATATTCCTCATTCCATCTTCAATTCATAGTTTCAAAGATCACCAATTAATTTGTTAGAGGAATTTTGCTCCCTTAGCAAAATAGAGAGAAATAAGTAATTACTCTTTCCTGTTTTTGCTTGGATGATTTAAGATTTTGAGATTAAATAATACTGGACCAAGCCAAGCCTCTGGGTATGTTCTTGATTGAACTGAGTCCTGCGACATGACCCACTTGAGCTTACGTGAAAAAGCCTGCCTTGTGGATAGGCTGCGCCTTAGGGCCCCTCCAAGGCCAACCGAGTTGGGGTGGGCGTGTGTGTTTGCTTTTCCTCACCAGTCCCCACTCACCTCCAAGGGGCTTGGCTGCGTTATCTAGAGAGAGTGTGGGCTACGGAAACATGATCGACTTCTTTCTTCAGAGCATTAGAAGCTTATTTACAAAGCTCTCCAGTTCCTGGGTTGAAAGGGCTCACAAAAAGACCTAAGATATTCTCAAAACAATCCAGGACCCAGTCAATATTTATAAGCAGGAGCTCTAGCTCAGGTGGCTTCATGAGACTATTTGAGCTCCACTTAACTACCGTACATTGATCATCTGCGGAAGACCTCCTGCCTGCCGGCTCCTCTATCTTTATTATATTGTGCAATTGGGAATACACTTGACTTTCAAAGGCTCAACTTGTGCCATTCAAAGGAAAAATCTCCACCTTATTTTTAAGCCCTATCTTGTTCCCCTTGTTCCCCTGCAGTCTGAATAAACATTACTCAATCGCTGAAGTTACTTAAGCATCAATCATTTCCACTTCAGGGAGAACGTAAAGGGAACAAAGAGGTAACTGCACAAAAAGATTGAAATTTAACCTCCACCGCTGGGCGCTTTCCAAGCTTGTTCAGATTAGTTCATCAAAAAGAAGCCCCAGAGAACTGATGTTGCCTCAAGTTCACTGAAATTCTCTTTCTCTCAAGGATTACACTTGACTATGAAGCAAGTCATCCCAGAAGTCCCAGGCAGGTGATAAACGTGGCCAGTCCGTGAGTGTTTGCTTTCCCTCCTCTTCTGGGGAGTTTCCATGACCTTTTTACATTCCTCCTCTCCTAATGCACCTGTCCTCACATGGGTCTCTCGCCCGCGTCTCCCTCCAGTACAGCCCCCAGTTCATGGCCTCCCACAATCTCTCTTAATTCTTCCTTCTTTTCCCTCCACCCATCCCTTGAAAAAAAAATTGCCCTTTGCATAAAATTGGCCTCCAAAATCTCTACTTTCTCTCATCTCACTGACTTCCGAGATGCCATTTTTGACTCCGAGATGCAGAGTGGGGACGGTGTGTTTCCAGGTGTGGTCTCAGAGCACCTGGATTCAGCTCACCTGGGGGGCTTGCTAAGCACATAGATTTCCCAAACCCCATCCACCTCTACTGAATTGGACTCCGGGAAGGAGGCCAGGGAATCTGCATGTTTAACAAGCTCTCCAGGGGATTCTTTGGCCCAGTGAAGTTGGGGATCTGCGGGAGAAGATGGGTTACTGAGGGAGGAGCATGGCTTCGGAGTCAGAGAAACCCTTGCTGGATTCAGTGCTTTGCTCTGTACTAGTGGATTGATTTTTTAAACAGCTTTATTGAGATATAACATATATGCTCTGAAACTCATTCATGTACTGTGTACAAGTCAATGGTTTCTAGTACATTCACAGAGGTGTGCAGCCATCACTACAATCCATTGTAAAACACTTTTATCACCCCAACAGGAAACCACACGTCTATTAGCAGTCGCTCTCCATTTACCCTCAATCCCCTAGCCCTAAGCAAGCACTAATTCTCTTTCTGTCTCTATGGATTTGCCTATTCTAGACATTCCATATCGATGAAATCTTACCATATGTGGCTGTTTGTGTCTGGCTTCTTTCACTTAGCATAATGTTTTCAAGGCTCACCCATGTTGTACCATAAACCAGTACTTCAATCTTTTTATAGCTGAGTGTTATTCTATTGTATGGATATACCACCTTTTATTTATCCATTCATCTATTGATGGGCATTAGGGTTGTTTCCAGTTTTTGGCTATTGTGAACAAAGTTGGCATGCACATTTTTGTATAAGGTTTTGCACAGATGCAAGCTATCATTTCTCTTGGTTAGGTACGTAGGCATGGAATTGCTGGGTCATCTGGTAACTTCATGCATAACATTTTGAGGAACTGCCAGGTTCTTTTCCAAAGCAACTATACCATTTTACATTCTTCCCAGCAGTGTATAAAGGTTGCAATTTCTCCATATCCTCACCAACACCCATGATTTTCCATCTTTTTTGTTACAGCCATCTTACTGGGTGTGAAGTGGTATTTCACTGTGGTTTTGGTTTGCATTTCCCTAACAAATAATGATGTTGAGCATCTCTTGTGCTTATTGGCCATTTGCATATCTTCTTTGGATTAGCTGCATAATTTAGGAAAGCATTTAACCCCTCTGAAGTTCAGTTTTCTTACTGTAAAATGGAGTAAATGGCAAGGTGATGAAATTACACAAGGCAATGAAGCTGGAGCCCCTGGCACGTAGTGGGCACTTTACAAAGGTTAACCTTTCACAACATTGATTCTGAAACACATCCACCTAGCTAGGCTGGAACCATGATTCACGGAATTCCCTTTCCTGTGTGGACTGACCACAGGAGATAGCTGTGGGAACTCGGGGAGACACAGTGGCTCAGTAGCCTTTTTGTGCTCTGAAGGCTGGCACAGTGCACCGTCACAGCTCACGCGTGCTGCCACTGCTCACTGCCTCACGTGCACCTGCTGCTCTGTCCACTCCCACCGCATCTCCTCCTTCAACTTCTGCAAGTCCTGGGCCAGGCCACTTCACTTCGGTGGCAAAGGAAATCGTTTCTTCAGCTGATCAGCTGAAGGTGGATGGGACACATGCTCAGGGTCCAGTTAGTCCTCATGGATTCCAGCTTTTCCTTCCTCTTTTTGACTCGTATCCAATTTTTTCCCTCATTGCTGGTCTTGCTGACCTAAACTGACATCAGGCTCAACACCGGAAGCAATAACCTTGCACAGAATTTCCCACCAGCTGTCAGTATTGTGCACAGCCCGATTGCTAGGAGGAACCCCTGATTCTCTAGCACTCAGAGTGACTCTGGCTTCTCTGATCAAACCTGTGAGCTACACTCACCAAGGGCAATTATGAGGCTTTCTCCTCTAGAGAAGGCAAGGACTGGGACTCGTGAAATTTGGCCACCCAGAGAAAGTAAACCTGGTGACCTGGGGTTCTCCCCATGTCAGCACCCCCAGGTCTCCCCAGGTGGAGGGAGCCTCCACTTGCCCTCCTGTGTGAGTTTCCTATTACTGACTGCTATAACAAATGACCACAAGCTTAGTGGCTTCAAACAATACAAATATACCCTCTTGCTTTTGTAGAGGTCATAAATCCAAAATGGATCTCACTAGGCCAAAATCAAGGTGTTATCAGGGCCACATTCCTTTCTGGAATCTTTAGGGAAGATTTCCTTTGTCTTTCCATTTCCTTGTCTCTTCTAGCTTCTAGAGATCACCTGCATTCTTTGGCTTGTGGTCTCCTCCTTCCTCTTTAGAACCAGCAGGTAAGCATCTGCACATCTCTTACTCTCTCAAATGACCCCTTGCTTCCCTTTTATAATATAAGGACTTTTGTGATTATTTGGGGGCTACTTGGATAATACAGGATGATCCCCCAACTGAAGATCTGAAACGTCTACATTTGAAAAGTCCCTTTTACCATAAAGAAACATATTCACAGTTTTGAGGATTAGGACTGCACATCTTGGGGGGCTATTATTCTGCTGCACACATCTCTAGGTGCACTTTCCCCCCCGCCAGCCCCTGCTCAGTGTCCCAAGAGACTGACCTGTATGGACTGCTTTTACCAGCTCTCTTGCTCTCTACTTCAGTTAGGGTTCAGACAATGAGGGGCAAAGACCCTTCTCGCAAAGACCAGAAAACAGGTGAGTCCCTGGTTCCTCCCCGTGGGGGCACTGTGGATTGGATGCATTACTCTAGCAGAGGACACACTCCTAATGGCCAGCTCTGCCTGCACAGCTCCAGCTCCACTTGTCCCACTGCCCCTTCCTGCCCCTCAGGCCTTGGGACAGTAACAGTCCCCCTGCCTGGCTCACCCCGAGGTCCTGCCCCATTCCTTACTGGTTTCCTTTAACCCTGCATGCACCTCCAGAAAAGTTCCTGTTTGACATGCATATAACAGCTAAAACTATAAAACTCTTAGAATACAACATAGGGATAAGTATTTATGACCCTGGGTTTACTGATGGATTGTTAGATATGACAAAAAACCACAATCAACAAAAGAAAATAGATATACCGGATTTAATCAAAATTAAAAACTTTTTCCATCAAAGGACACTAGCAAGAAAGTGAAAAGACAACCCATAGAACAGGAGAAAATATTCAAAAATCATATGTCATAGATTTCAGTTTCTTGAGCAAAAAGAAAAAGAAATAAACAAAAATCATATGTCTGATAAGGGTCTAGTATCCAGAATATATAAAGAACTCTTACAAATCAACAACAGAAGACAATTCAATTAATACATAAGCAAAGGACTTGAAGAGGCATTTCTTCAAAGAAGACAGACAAGTGGCCAAGAAGCACATGAAAAGATGCTCACGTCATTGGTCATTAGGCAGGTGCAAATCAAAACACAATGAGATTCCACTTCACACATACCAGGACGGCTACGGTCAAAACAAAAACAAGCACACAGAAACCTCCAAGTACAGGTGAGGATGTGGAAAGAGTGGAACCCTCAGAGACTGCAATGGGAATGCAGAATGGTGTCGCTGCTGTGAAAACCAGCCTGGCAGTTCCTTGACAAGTTAAACAGACAATGACCCTGTGACCCAGCAATTCCACTGCTACGTATACACCCCAAACAATTGAAAACAGGTGTTCGAATGAAAACCTGTGTGTGACTGTCCGGTTCCATCCCTCATGCATCTTCCAAACCAGCTCCAATTTATGAGCAGAAACACTTGCTCTTAGATGCTCCCACGGCAGACAGTGGGTGTCACTGCAAAAGAGCCAGCCTGTGCAGCCTTCGGAGGGGAGAGCTGTGCACCGTCCGGGAGCGTTCATCACAGTGTGACACAAAGTCCAGGGTTTCTGCCAGCCGGGCTATTTCCTAACACGCTGGAGGGGGGTACTCTTGACATGCTTAGAGAGGCCCCAGATTTATGAGGCTTTAGGAACAAAACAAGGTCAGAGGAAAATTGGCCAACCCACTGTGAGTCCAAAGTGATTTCAACTAAAATAGGTAGAGAAAACGGAGATCATAAAAAAGGGAATTTCAGATTTAGTGCCTGATGCTCCATCTCTTAAAAACAAGCAACCTCCCAGGCTCTGACCTTGGCTTTTCTTTTGCATTGTCTCTTTTGGGACTTACTGTTCTACCTGCCCTAGACAAAACCTCTGCTGGGAGTCACAGCACACTTGAAATGCAGCATATTCTAAACTGAATGAACTTCCTCCCTTCCCTCCTCCCAGCCTCTCCTCCCATCTTCCCTTCCTTCCTCTCTCCCTCCCTCTTTCCTCCCTCCCTACATCTTTTCTCCCTTCCTCCCTCCTTTCTTTCTTCCTCTTCTCTTGCCATCATCATCTTCAAACTGCTCCCCAGCCTGGCCTCCCCATCTGTGACACCAGTATTGCCATTTCCCATCACTCTGGCTTTGAACCTCCTAGTCTCTGACATTCACATCCCTTGCATTTCCCACAGCCCCCAGCCCCCAGCTGCCTGCGAATGCCAATGCCAATGAATCTCTTTCTGGCTCTTCCTACGCCAGTCCACCCTAGGGCCCAACATCCAAGTTCTTCAAAGCCCGACTCCAAGCTACCTATCTCTTGCTACAAGCCTTCAAATCATTCTCATGAAAATGTTGAGAACTCCATTCCACTCATTCTGCATCTGATGTCTCCTGAATACCTACTTTGTGCCAGGCATGGTGCTAGGGGCTGGTAGTCTAATAGTGGACAGGGCTCTTGGGGGTTT